AAACATTAAAATGTAGGATGTAAAATGCAACGTAGAAATTGGACATAAAGCACCAATACGGGAACTTTTTTTTAAGCAGCGTAAACTATTCGCAACAGAAAGTTATGGTACGAGTTATGAAAAAGTTTATTAAGACTTTTTTGGTTTGTATGTTATAATCTAACACCGCAAAATTTCGATTTTTGAAACATTTTATAAATAGAATAATAAATTGGAGAATATCAAATTAATGATATGTTTACAATCTCTTAAAAGTTATTTTAAAAATTGAAAAACTTTTATCACTAAATGCAAATCACTAAAAAAATCTATATTTACTCATATACACTCGCCTCAAAGTTCTAATACAGTGTAAGTGATGATATATTGTGCTCAGACATTGTACAAATATTTGCACACAAGTCAAAATCCATCAACTTTATAGACATAAAATGTTTCAAACTTATAAGTAGCAAGCGAAGAAAAATAAAAAAACTTGAAAAAAATTTAGCATTTTTTTTAACAAATAGTTCTTGGATTTAGTGACAAAAAATACACATCGACAATTAAATGAAAAAAACGACTCGAATTTAGTGACATTTAAAGACGGAAAAATAAATGAAAGGAAGGAAGATTACCCTAATAAAGCTGACTTACTTGTTTCCAGTAATGTGATATGTGTCGTTTGGGGGCTATCAGATGTCACTGAATCTCTGTGATGTCTCGATCTCTGCAACAATAAAAAATTTAGTAGTAACTAAAAGTGATTAGGTGATGTATAGCACAGAGTAAATTAATGGTGGCAGCTTAAAAACAAGAAACCTTAAGTAGTTGGAACGATTCAAAAGCGAGCTTTTAACGGAACGGAGATATATGATGTATTATAATTCTTGCCCGACTTTTATATTATTTATTTCAGTGAAAGTTTTTTTGAAACTCGCTTTTGCGTACATCTAAATATAAAATGATACTATAAAGTCGCAAAAGTTTTACAGAAATGATTAAAATAATAACAATAATTTTATTTTATATTAGATTTCGTGTTATGCGAGTTGTAGAAGCGAGAACGCAATTTCCTGCTGAGCGAAATACACTTTTGACGAATGCAATAATTTCGTTTTAATCTTGAGAGAATTAAAGATTTTATCGCTTTTACGACTAATTTGAGTTGCAATTTCTTCGAGTTCCTTTTAAAGTGTCCTTTCATCACTAAAGACAATGTTAATTAAGTTAGAAAGTGTAGCCCTTGGCCGGTTCTTGTTCAATCGGGGAGTTTTCATTAATTTTACGGTTATTAGTGTTCGCTTTCAATTCATAACGTTCGGAACTTTTTCACTTATACACACTTTATTGAAAAGTGGAAGTTTGGGAACTCCGATCGAGCATGATTAAAAAGAAAATATATTACAATTCAGTCAAGTAACAATCTGAATTACCAATAACGTAGATGAAATTCAGATTTACGAGCAAGTTTGGAACATTGCGGTTGTATTTCATGCGTAAAATTAAATTTTAATCAACAGCACTCAATCTGACCAAATGAGATATTGCATCATAAATTATTCTTAAACAATGCTGGAACTGATTGTTCTAGTTGTGTCCCATATTGAAAAATCATTGAATGAGGGCTTTATGAATTGATTGATCGATGGTTTGAAAAAATTGTAAAGTATGAAAAATGGCGAATCGGGAGTTTTGAGATGAAATTAGCAAGTCATGAAGGAATTGATTACAAACTGACTAGTAAATTTACCAGAATGCCAATCCTAAACTGAACTCAAACTGTTAATCTGTACGAGGTGTAACTGCAATACCATCGGAGCTGGCAGGTACACACACACCGCCACAACACCTCTGGGAATCTGAATCTAACACTGCAAACTTCGCCAGTTAATAGATTCTGAAATTAGAGCACAAATGAAGTGGCGAATCGATGCATCTACTGAGAGAAGTGGGTGGTAAACAAAGTTACACACAATTAAATTCGAGACTATATAAATAAAACGCGACATCTCATTTTCTAGATAAAATCCAACTTAATTATTCCGATCACAATACTGCCGCTGTTAATATTTTTAATTTGCTTGACATTTGGGGACCTAGATGCAAATGATTTTGTTATAAATAGCTTTTTTATGCGCCACTTTTTGCCCAACAAATTTCAAGTTACAAAAATATCTAATTAAAGTTATCTAAGTTTATCATCTCGTTTACATAAATACCAGTTTACAAACAAGATTTTGTTCATGAAATCGAACCTATCTTTATATGAGAGTTATACCAAAGCTGCTATTTAATGATAAAATTGGTTCAACGTTAAAGAGAGCAAACACCATTTGCACTCTAATTGTTGTGGTTTGCACGCAAATCATTATTTATGAGAATTTATTGCAAAACAAAAGCTTGGTACAATATTTGAGTAATTTTCTGCTTTTTTTTTAAACAAAAATTACAATTTATTTTTAACACTACCATGTACTATAAAATATTATTCATTCGTGTTATGTAAGGGTAGCAAAAAAATTATACCTAATATTGGTGTGTTTTGACACTGTTTTGATGTTTCAGATGTATTTAATATTTGTAGCAGTGGTTTAGGTATTATCAAACAACGTTTAAATTAAAATTGTTACACCACAAATATTTTCTAATAAAATATACACATATTTGTTAAATTTGCTATTTATTTCAAAATTTATAGGAATGTAATTATGAAAAATTTATTTTGGTTAAAAAAATACCAGTGTAACCAAAATTTCCTAATTTGCATGTTTTATTTAATTTTTTTGTACACACCTCCAAAAATGGCTACTTTACAAACCCATTTAAGTCCATAAGATGAGTCATTCCGGACTCAATAATAAAACACCTAATATAATTATTTTAGGTAGAAGAACGTATAATACAATTTCTGTGTTCAAAAAAAATCTAACTACTATGGTGGCATGGTAAATAAAATTTGGAGGTCACTATTTGGTACAAATATTTGCTCTGATTACATTAATCATACAAAGTAAAATCGCTCGTAAAAACATTATTTTAGAGGCCCACAGAAGACATCGGTGTCTAGTATATATATTTTAGTAACAAAGTAAAAAAAAAATGAAAAACATAAAAATACTGATATTTGTTGCCATATTTGTTCTCTAGAGTGCAACAAAACTTGATGAATCTTTTATAGTGTTTATATTTCTCAACGAAAGCATTAGTTTGGTCTAAATATTTTTATTATTGTTTTAAAGAATCTTATAAAACAATTTAAAATAAATGAAATTTTTAGTTTAAATTAAATTTCATGTCATTTATTTTATTTTTCTTGAGAGGATTAATAGAAGCCAGCGTCTTAGAAGCAATTTGATTTGAATTGTAAAATTTTGTTGGCATTATTGGATTCCTAACAGTACGAGTAAAAATAATTGATAAACAAAATTATTCACTGACAATTTAATACTGTAATTAATTAAATCGATGAATCGTGAGCAGTAGGTAATAATTATTGTGTTAATAAGTAATAATGCCGAATATTGATCAGCGGAGTTAATTACTTCTATCTTTCAACAAAAAACAGCACGCAAGATTCACTTCAGAAAGCAAATATTACATTATAAAACAGCAACTTTACCAAAATATTGCAATATTATCAGGTATTCAAAATTATAAAAAGTCTACAAAGGCTTTTCATCTGATTTTTTTTTATGCCAAACTAAATATTTTTGCCCAATAATTTTAAAGTTGCTGGTGTGGTATTTTTACATAATTGACAGATTTAATTGTACCATTAAAATTAAAGTTGAAAATTGAATGACGATGTGGTGTGGTAATACATTTAAAATTTTAATGTTTGCGTGGATGCAATTAGTAATTCCAAAATGAGCGGCTGCAGCAAAATGAAACCATAAGCATTGCAGTGGCGTCATTTTGTAATAAAGCTTGTAATCCTATTGACATAGTGCAGCGTGAATGATGAGAATATCAATTATTATCCGCTACATGTTTAGATTTGATTTTTTCTATTTAAAGGTCAATTTTATATCACGTTTTAGCTGTGTTACCAATATCTAGCCAATATATTACAAAACACAAAAAACGTGTTCAGAATCAACCAAACAAGGTTGGTTTTCTCTCTTAATGAATATTATTATACAGAGTGACTTTAATTATAACTGCATTATTGATTTTAAAGTTAAGATTTTGGCGATTATAGAAAATTCAGCAATCACCAATCACTTTTCAATAACGTCTTCAACTAAAATGTGTCTTGTTATTTCGAAAAAATGCTCAATATTTTCTTTTCGTTGAAAGCCGTAATAATGTTACTTTTGTACTCGAATGTGCCATCAAAATGTCACCGTGTTATTACACGTGCCACGTCATGGCTGAAACTATAATTACCTAAAAATAATTAAGGGTGTGGTTTTGGCATCAGACACGTGCAATTTGCCGAAAGTGGTTCGGCCTTTAGCTGCCAGGTGCAAAGTAGTCGACTCGAAATTCACTTAGGATTCAATTTAATTAGCTTGATGAATTTCGTCGTTAAATGAGTCCAAGCACTCTTCTCCGACCTTTCATATCGTCTCAGTTCTTATTTCTGCTTCTTCGACAAAATTTTCGATAAAATCTAAGCAGCGTCAGAAAAAAGCTGAAATTAGGTCATGATTTAATTTAAATGAGATAGCTCTAAATGCGCGGAAACTCAATTTCGGCAAAAAGCGCAGTCTTGATCCATCCGTTTCTATTTGTAACCGGAAATTTAACTAATAAATTTCTTGGCTGAAGTGCATTATACCCGCTTTTACCTTGCGAATATGTCCGAGGGACTGAAATAAGAACTGAAACTGAGGCTCTATCAACTTTTCAATTTATTGGAGGCAGTTTTACTGCTGAATCCACGTACACACTGCGTTATGATTCTCAGGATAAATACCAAAGTTTTTTTACTACCGGCGACATATTTCACGCAACTCTGAGCGCCCTGAAAAAATTTAAAACTCTCGCGATTAATCGCCGCTTCTTTTATCACAGTTGTTGCGTCGTTTGGTTCAATTTTCCACCACTTAATTCTCGAAAACTATTTCCGGGAAGGTGTATATATTTGAATTCGGAGCACACATTGCGGAAGTGAAGCTTCAATAAAGATAGGAGTGCGCCGTAAGCACCACTTGACTCAAATATTATGCAAGTTTGTGTACGAAAGCCCGTACTAAAATCTAGTTCAACACCTTTTGTACTTCGAAGTTGTAATCCTACCACGTCGCCCTGATTATGCTTGTATCATATTAAAATCATAAAGCATGAATCTTGTCATAAACATTTTAATGTGCATTTCGATACGACAAGACACTTTTAACTCGGATGCTGGATTTGGATTCGATTTGAAGGGCTTTGCTTTGTGCCTAAAGTATTTCCTGCATTTCAATATGCATTAATAAATTATTACTGGAGAGGGATTTTCTTTTACGTTATATTAAAATTTTATTGATTCCGTCTTCAACAAATGGCTTTTTTGATGAATGATTCAATCTTATTATCAAGTCACCCCATTGAAACAAGAAAGATTCATTCTTACTTTATTGTTGCTTCAAATACAGAATACAATGAAAATTTATATAACTTAATAATAAATTCATCTCTTAAGACGACAAGAACATATCGTGTTGCGTATTCTTTATTCATATTGCAAAAGCTATTTTTTGAATAGATAAATATTTTCTCAATTCTAATCCTTACATT